CAGAGCTCCTGCCTCAACAATGCAGGAAGTCTAAGCTTCTCTCCAGAACAGTTTACAAGGGAAAACATTCACTTCCGACTTAGTCTCAGACATTTTCTCACAAAATGCCCTAGGGAGTCCAAATTAAAGGACAGAGTGCTCAGGGACGGAAAGCCTGAGGACTTTGGAAAGTATCTGCAATGCTGGGCTGAGTCACCTACCATTTCCTGCTAAAGTTATCCCGGAGAACCAGCCAGTTCCTCTCCCCAAGCAGCTGGGAACTGGGCAGGGCTGGCCACTTAGTCCAAGAAGTCCCAAATGGCCCCATCCTGACAGTGATGTAATATATACTTCATTTGTTTATCCATGGCCTTCAGGACAACCGAGAGAAGAAGGAAACAAGCAAATGGAAAAATTACACGGGGAGAAGCTAGATTTACTTGGTTTTCTAGTTTGTTTCTCAGCTGAGGACAGAAACAATTTGGCCATAACTGTAGCTCTGAGTGTAAAAACTCTTCCCTTACAGGGCACATTTGGCTGTGGGTTTGGATTTTCGGAACACAACACTGTAGTCCATTAATATTGTGTACTTGGGGGAAAAGGCCCTTGGGGGACACAGAATGGTATAGGAAAACTGCATGGTGGGTATGGTCTTTTGCTAGTTTACTTGTCCTTAATTATAAACATTCTTTGGCAAGGAAAAACAAAGTTGTTGCAACCAGACCTTTTTCTAGGATCAGTGGGGGCCAGTGCCATGGGGGAGGGAGGCTGGCTGGTGTGTGGCGTTGTCTCTCTTATAAGTGAACTTTAGTCATGGCCATAAGTGTGAGAGAACATTTCAAACTGAGGTCATTTCAAATCTTCTTCTTGAGTCATCCCACTGCATCTTCCTGTGCCTTTCTTAGGGCCTTTCAGACTATTGGTATGGTATTCTAGCAATCTGTGTGTGCCTTATAGGCCACAAGCTTGCTAAGGGAGGGGATGATTTTGTGTCTGTTCTCTACAATGCCCAGCATAATAGCTTAAGATTTGGAAATGCTCAGTTGATGTTTGCTGAATGAATATGTAAGGCAGGTGGGATATGGAAAGATGCAGTGATTATAAGGTGAATGGCAGAAGGTGGGAGTGAGGGACAAGTACAAGGGAGAAGGAGGGAGTGTGGGAAACATTCCCCACTTGCTTTTGCCCTTTGAATGGAGTGTTTGCCCTATACAAAGTGTTGCAGCAGAAGAAATGGAAACACTTTGGAAGACAGAGACCCTTTTGCCTTTATTTGCCACTAATTCTCTTTATTCAAGGTCTGAGCCCTAGGTCAATGGATAGACAACCCCTGTCTTTCTGACCCTAAGTCTGTTTGAGATGATTCAGAGAAAATGGTCTCTGTTTCTCTTGGGAACAAGCTTGACCAGTGGCTATTCATCAGAACGCTTAGGAAGGAAGCACTTAAACTTTGTCCTGACTCACTGCGTCTGGGGCAAAATCTTGCTCTTTGTTTTCATTTCTCCGGAGCTCTAGGTCAGACTTGGCACAGCAAGGACCCAAATGTGGGCCGTTCCTGAGCCCCAAATTGGCATCACTGCCCTGAATGGCTCCTGAGACTGTACTGGTAGAAAGGCAGCACAGAGAGTTCTCCAAGGAAAAGAACAGTGCAACTGCTCACGTGTGCTGAATTATTTAGTTGCATCAAATATTCAGATTTGTGAGAACAAGCGTGCGATGGATGAACTGAATGTTTTCCTATAGCTTTCAGAATCCGATCCACACTCCAGGAATCTCCTAATTCAGGTTCCTTTGGGTCGGGCTCCAACTCCTGGGATGAGCTAAAGTACAAGTGCCAATCCCATGCCAATGATGTTTGACATATGCTCTTCATGCAAGTGGATTTTTCATGGGAGGTTGAACTATGTCCCATACTTTACCTCCCCGAGAAAGGAGACAGTCAGGTTGGAGGTCAGGGTTGGGATGTTTACACAGAAGTCTTTTTTTTTTTTTTTTTTTTTGTATAGATGGGTTGGAAACCTAATTTCTATAGAATTTTGTCTGCGAAATACTTGTGCTCTTGAGCTCTCTTGTACGAAACTGCTGCTCTTCTCACAAAGCTTTGCCATTTTAAGCGAAATCAAACGTAACACCTGCTGGAGTTGCTTTAGAGCCCAAGATGTGTGCCCTAATAACAATGATCATTTATTAAATCTTCCTATTTCCCAGATATCATATGTGGGATTAACATTATATTATCTAGGGCTTGGGATTTGGCCTAGTGGGGCGTGCCTGAGCCACAAGCATAAGGTCCTAGGTTTGAGCCCCGGTACTGGAAAACATTATCTGATATCCTTACTTAAAGCACAGGAGCCAGATGTAGGTCTTCCTGTTTTATAGCTTGAAAAGCAAGGTTCACAGATATTGTTCAGAGTCACATCAAGGACTAAATGATTCCAGCCTTGAGGTTTCTTCTCATCATATGACAATATGTCTTCGCCAGCAATATTTTCGATTATCCTACGTAAAAATCTAACTGCCCTATCAAAACTGTAAAGGGTACTCCTTCCCCTGTGAAGGTGAAGGGAGAGGGATGAGGGAGGGATCGGAGCTGTTTCTGGGAAGCTGTCGAGGTTCCATGTTTTCATTTGGGCCGTGGTTGCACTTTGCGTTCACGCAATCAATGCGTGATAATCCATCAAAGGGTACACACCAGATTCAGTTGTTTTGTGTGTATGTTGGTTGTATTTCATTTAAAAGTTTACTCAAAAAATCATTTTTGGCAGCTAAGAGGAATCTTCCCTGTTATGGTCAATACGTACTAGTGAATCAATACAAATTCCTTTGACTCTTGCGTATTAAATTTAAAAACAATACAAATAAGTTGCTACTCTGACTCTTAAAAATACCTTAAAGTTGCTCATAATGAGAGTCATGCACAGTTATAGAATAGTACTAGGAGGGGGCTGTCAGCACTATGTAATAAAAACTTTCCTTGCACGCATGGGCCACTCTGCTGGTCACCACAGAAGGCTTACATCTAGTCTCTACCTCAAAATGCTCGCGACCAAGTTGAAGAGACCAAATATTTGTTGTAGTAAGTGGAGACTTGTCTTCAAATATATTGGAACTTGTTGAAACAAGTCCTCTCCCGCCTCAATCAATAGACCTAAAGGAAGCAAAAGTTTTCTTGGACTTCATCATATACTTACTACGTAGATAATTGAAGTAGGAAAGACCACATCTGGTCAATAATTTGAACAGTCTGACCTCCCAATCCTGAAGCTTTCGAAATAAAGATTTTAATCTTTACATAATGGTTTAAAGTTAGAGATACTAAAATGTCTAGTCACCAGGATGGACTGTAATTGTATTTCTTTGCTTGCACATGCATTTTCCAATGCTGGATTCACAGCCTCAAAGAACACAGATGTTATTTCAGGTTATTTTAAACTGTGATGGGAAAGTTGTTACACATTTTTCTGCTTCTTTGTATTGTATGCATTCAGAGATGTGGAGAGAAAGGCATGTAAAAAACTCAAGCCTATAGACTTGGTTTCTTCCATGGCTGAATTTTTCATTTGTGTCAGAAGTAGCCAACATGGCACAGAGTAATGCATCTGAAACACTATTTATTTCCCAAGAATCTCATAAAAATGCAGTAGGTTTGGGTTCAGGGTGGGGCCTGAGATTCTACTTTTTTTTGGTATTGGGGATCAAACTTAGGATCTTGAGCTTTTGAGGCAGGCATGGCACCACTGAGCTAAATCCCCAGCCCCTGAGATTCTTCTTTCTAACAAGCTCTAGGTAATGACAATGCCTCCAGTTCACGAACAACTTTTTATGTTTTTTTTTTTTTTTGGTACTGGAGATCAAACTGGGACCTTGTACTTGAGAGGTAGGTGATGGAATCACTGAGCTAAATCCCGGGCCCCATGAACAACTTTTTGATGAGAAGCTTAGAAAGGATATAGAGAAAAGGAGACTAGACTTGGAATTACAGTTTCTGGTTTTAGTGCCAGCTCTGCATTTACCAGCTTATTTTCTCAGAGTTTAACTTCTTCAAACTATAATAAAGGAAGAGCGGGATCAAGTTATTTCAAAGCTTGCACTGATTTATTTTTCAGAGTGATATTTGAGTTACAATCTTCAAGTGTAGGACATGTACAGCCTTGAGGGGGACTGACTGATAAACTCACATAGAGCTAGAAAAGCAGGGAGTGTAAGGATGGGAGCACGAGGGTGTGGCCAAGTCAGGAGCAACAATCATTTCTCATTGGTAAATGTAAGTTCACAGTTTCTAAGTGGTAAATGTTGGATTGAAATATGTTACCTAGAGATAGGCTGTGATTTCCTCTCCAACAATCACTTCTGGAGGAGACCTCCATGGCCCAAAATTGAGTTGCATAAGAAACTTGAAAGAAGGGAGCAACAGATATGTTGTGGTTTTGAAATAAGAAGCACTTTGAGGAAGCTCTGGGTGACTCATAAGCTAGAGGACAGCATTGGAGCTACGAGGGAGTCTGGTTTGAATACAACAATTTGTCTCTGCTGCAGATCATTCCAGTCCAGTTGGCCAGGAATGCAGATCTTTGACCACCGCTGCCAGACCAAATGGGGCCAGAGCCTGAGGCATGGGTGGAAGGACAAACGCAGTCTCCCGCAAGGGTTAGGGGGAGCCTAGGTGCTTGCTTGGGTGTGCCAAGGGCATGGGGATTTAACTGAAGGAACACAGCACCAGGGACCTGAGCTTACGGTGGCGGCCCCTCCCCCAGCCCTAGCTCATCTCGGGCTTCTTTTTGTACCGGGGATCGAACCCTGGACCTTGTTCTTGTGAGGCAGGCGGGGGAACCACTGAGCTAAATGCCCGGCCTCTTTTTTTTTTTTTTTTTTTTTTTTTTTAGCAGTAAAAATGCTCAAATGCATCAATCGGAAAGAATTCCCCAGGCTCAGAGACACGGACTAGTTTCTCTTTAAGTCCCACTGCAAAGTCAGGGAGTAGAGAGAACTGGCGACGGGATGGGGCAGGAGGAGGTTTTTACCTTATGCAGGACGTGCTCGTTGAAGTCTGGGCCGGCTCCCTCCTGGTAGGAGTCGAGTCTCTGCGGGTCCATGCCCAGCGAGGAGCCCACTGCTCCCTGCTCTTCCAGAGCCCTGCGTCAGCGCTCTCAGGAGCTGGGTCCGGGCCCCGCCTGGGGCGGCAGGAGGGGGTCTGA